TTCTCTCTGTTATGGTTTAATCTCCCTCCCCCTCATACTTACACTCTCTCTAAATTGTGTTTTTATTTCCGGAGTTGTGTTTTTTTCTATTTTCCTTTTGAATTTGTAGGTCTGATGACTTGGATCGTATTTACGATTCCAATGGAATAAATTATGACCATGGAATATTAGTGTTTAAGCCTTTTTATTATATCCTTACTCTGTCCTGGACATTGAGTTCTACCTGGATTCTTCCTCTTGGAATTTTTATTCTAAAATATACATGTATGGATAATTATATATTTTGCATACGTATGTATATTTACCACTAATATTATCTATATATATCTCTAATATATATATATATATATATATATATATATATATATATAAATATATATATATATAAATGCAAGAAAAAAGTAGACAAAGCAATAGTAATGAGGCAAAAAGGCTCACAAACGATGAATAGTGTTAAGACACAAAAGGGATATAGACAAGTGGCTGCAGCATTAAGACAAGAAAGAACAAAAATATGGTGGATGAGACTGAGAAGTGGTCTATTGCATAGCCTAGAAAGAAATCCCAGTGTAGGGATACAAAAGGAAATTATCTCACTTTCATTGAGATAAAGTCTCAAGGGTCAAATGACGGCTGGTGAGTGACATCAGAGAATAGAGTGACAAAGTACAGTTGCAATGTAGAAAAAGGTCATCTCTAGCCCACAACAGTATGTCTTACATGAAAAACAAAAAACAAAAAAAAAAAACATGTGACCTCCATAGATTCAGAGAAACCGCTGTAACTCCAGTTTTCCCTTCAGGAAATATTTCTCATTATTTTCACACCACTTGCTGTTGTAGACAGATGATATAGTTTCTCTGTGTGAGACATGGGTAATTATGTAGACATAACCGAGTACAATTTAGCAGCATAAAACTCTCTCCCAGAATAAAACATGTTTGTCATTCCTTTTCTTTCAGCCATTCCGTTCTGTCCATGAAATACAGTGCTATTATATCGTGGATATAATAATGCTCACAATGGAGGAATCACATGTGAGAGAATAAAATTTTCTTCCATAGCGCACCCATTACCATTATATGATGTGTCTATAAATTTGAAGAGGGGAATGTTTTTGCAGTCGTTCCGAACAGGAACGGAACGAACAGAACAGAACATTTTTGGGACAGCCTGTATATTTCAAAGATCCACGTATGAGAATAACAATAATAGTAAAGACTTAACAAAATATAAATTTCTATGTGCTGCTGTTTTTCATGGCATGGGTAAGTTAGTATTTTGAATAAAAATCATGATTGCTTGAATGAAAAACTAACGAAAGAGAATTAAAAAAAAAAAAAAAGCGAAAAAAGTATAATTTACCTGAGATTACATTGGATAAGAAAATTGAATAAATTCCCTTGTTTGTAAATTTCCAATTAGCAGAGCACCTGCAAAGAAGCAAAAACAAGTATTTTATTAAGAGAAAATATTGGCTGAGCCAATCAATGCTGTGGCAAAGCTTATAGTCAAAGGCAGCTGGAAAAGAAAACAATGACATTTACATTAACAAATAGGTTTATAATTGGTATTTTTAAATATGCTAAAAATAGTATTAACAGGGTCACTGTGATAAGAGAACCCAAATGTAGGTCAGGACAGATGCGTAGAAGTCGGATGTAATTACAGAGAGATACAGAAACCCTATCTTAACATTTTGTAGTTGTTAGTCTGTTTTTGCTGAAAGAAAGATGATTGTTCGTAAGATCCTACTGCTGTTGAGTGAGAATCCTTTTCTAGCAGTTGATAGGATCCTAGGGTCATCATGTTGTAAAAACTGATTTGTTGAAAATATTTTATCAAATTGATGGTATATTTGGATCTGCTTTCTCAATTTTTTTTTTTTTACTAGAAATAAAAGATTTTCTTTAAGACCTCCTTATATATATATATATATATATATATATATATATATATATATATATACACACACACACAGGGTGTTGCAGCAAAATCCGACACTTGACAAAAAGAAAATGAAATAGGCAATGAAAACAGAAGTTGTATATGCAGAAACCCAACAGTTTATTTAGCAACAGTTAGAGTTACAGACTACATTATTTTTCAATGTAACCGCCGGCGGCGGCGATGACCATCTCAAGGCGAGCATGAAATTAGTCACACGCTTTGGTGACCATGTCCATAGCGGTGTGTTGTGGGCATGCTTGTTGGTTTTGGCCTCAATCATGCCCCAGAAGAAATATTCAAGGGGGTTGCAGTCAGGTGAGAAAGGCGGCCACAAGTCTGCCAACCAGTGGTGAGGAACATTGTTGAGCAGCCATGCCTGGATCATCTTGGCCTTGTGTGCAGCGAGGGGACGTCAGGCTTCAGTTCTTCTTTCAAAAGGGCCTGAGAGTCATGGCTGAGATCTAACAGGAGGTGCTGAGGAGTGTGATGAAGCCCTGGATGGACAAGATCACTGCCGGACAACCCTACGTCTTGCAGCAGGATGCAGCTCCTGCACACAAGGCCAAGACGACCCAGGCGTGGCTGCTCAACAATGTTCCTCACCACAGGTCACCAGATTTGTGGCCGCCTTCCTCACCTGACTGCAACCCCCTTGATTATTTCTTCTGGGGCGTGAACAAGGCCAAAACCAACAAGCATGCCCAGAACACGGTTAACTCTCTGAAGGCTGCCATCATGGAGGTGTTCACCACTATGGTCAAGGACATGGTTGCCAAAGCGTGCGACTCATTTGGCATCTGCCTTGAGATGGTTGTCGCCACCAGTGGTGGTTACATTGAAAAATAATGTAGTATATAACTAACTGTTGCTAAATAAACTGTCATGCACTTCTGATGAGTCCCAAATATAGGATGAAATGGCCATCCAGTGCTTTCTGCATTCTGTTGAGGTTTCTTCTAGACTATGAATTATATATATATATATATATATATATATATATATATACACACACACACAGTGTGACCCGGATATAAGAGAGATTTTCTCTGGTCCCAAATTAGAGCCTGTGTTAATGTATATGTATGTATGTATGTATGTATGTAAGAAAAACTCTAAAATTTATTTTAGACTTGTGAATATTAATTTTTCATATTTAAGGGAGTTACTTTTACACTTTTATAAAAAAAAAAAAAAAGTAAATAAACTAATTTATATTGAAAATTAATCTGGCTCAACATATTTCAGCAAAAAAAAAAAAAAAAAAAAAAAAAAAAATAATAATCTTATATCTTTATTTGATAAATAATCCGAATGCATTACTACAGGAAAATCATTTACAATGAATTTCTAATTATATATATTTTAAGGTATGCTATATTATGGGTTAAAGTGTTCAATAGGGATAGAATATATGTAAATATAAAAGTGGACAGTGAAGTCAACAGTCAACATCAAGAGGTGACAGTCTGTTTCATGCTTAAAATTAATCATCATCCTGATGATTGCGTTTAAGCATGAATCAATAAAAAATTAAAAAACAATTAGGACATGTGTCATAATAGAAGTGTCAAGAAAAAAAATCGAAAGGGAAAAAAAATTTCACTTTGATACACCATTTTTTGCGGTTATGAATGCTAAATTTGGACATTGCTTCCCACCCCCACTTTGTCATTTGAGAAATGCAAGCATTTAAATGCCGACTGATCTTCATTTATTGGAGACATATGGAAGCCCTTTTTTTTCTTCCCATCAATGTTTTTCCTAAGGCTTGCAAATGATGCTCTATAGTTGACTGATTGTACAAGCAATAAAGAGCCAAGCCACCATCAAAGGTACTTTGAAGATTGGACACACGATGGATTCTTTAAACAAAGACTCAAGATAAATTAGCAATCAGTGGAGTATGAAGTCACAATCTGGAAGAAAAATCTATTTTCTTTCCTTGTCACAATTACTGAGTCACTGAAGCACTCATCTAAAAAGAGTAGAAAGCCAACATATTTATTTTTATCACAAAGAGATATGTATTCAACTAAAAAAAAAAAACAAAAAAAAAACAAGCAAAGAGAAAAAAAAAAAAAGAAGCAAAAAAAAAAAAAAAAAAAAGAAGCCGGCAAAGAAATGCGGGAGGACGTGGAGGCAAAGAAATGCAGGAGGACGTGGAGGCAAAGAAATGCGTGAGGACGAAGAGGCAAAGAAATGCGGGAGGACGTGGAGGCAAAGAAATGCGGGAGGACGAGGAGGCAAAGAAATGCGGAGGACGAGGAGGCAAAGAAATGCGTGAGGACGAAGAGGCAAAAAGAAATGCGGAGGACGGGAGGCAAAGAAATGCGGAGGACGTGGAGGCAAAGAAATGCGGAGGACGTGGAGGCAAAGAAAAATGCGGGAGGACGGGAGGCAAAGAAATGCGGGAGGACGTGGAGGCAACGAAATGCGGGAGGACGTGGAGGCAAAGAAATGCGGGAGGACGTGGAGGCAAAGAAATGCGGGAGGACGTGGAGGCAAAGAAATGCGGGAGGACGTGGAGGCAAAGAAATGCGGGAGGATGAGGAGGCAAAGAAATGCGGGAGGACGAGGAGGCAAAGAAATGCGGGAGGACGTGGAGGCAAAGAAATGCGGGAGGACGTGGAGGCAAAGAAATGCGGGAGGACGTGGAGGCAAAGAAATGCGGGAGGACGTGGAGGCAAAGAAATGCAGGAGGATGAGGAGGCAAAGAAATGCGGGAGAAATTGCAATAGAAAAAAAACAATGAGGAAAGAACAAAACTTAGGAGGAAAGAAAGACAAAAGAAAAAGAAAAAAAGAGTAGTGGAAAGAAAGAAGTAAGGTTAATAAAGAAAGATAAGAAAAAGGAAAAAATAAAAGAGGAAAGGCTAATGCATAAAGAAACTGAATAAAGAAAAAATGAAAAAAAAAAAAAAAAACAAAGAAGGAAAGGAAAAGATAATAAATGAAAAAAAACAATAAAATGAAAGAAGACATAAAAGGACATGTACTATAAAATAAATGAAGGAAAAGAAAGAAATGCAATTGAAGATGCAGGTGATAAATGAGACATACAAGAAAAATAATACAAGGAAAAAAAAAAAAGAAAAGAAAGAAAAAAAAAAGGAAGCCAAAAGAAAGAAAGAAAGAAAAAGAAAATATAACCAAAGTTGTTGTTTTTTTTTGTTTTCTTGAAAATTGTTTGGAAATGACCACAAATATCAATGTATGCCCAACCCAATAAAGATGGATCTCCAGTGCCAAGGTAAAGGGAAAATGTTACGAACAATACTATCAACTGCCAACATTGATTAAGTTTCTTGTCAGCTCTTGACATTTTCATTAAGGCAGGTTTCGTCTTATGCGCCAAACAAGATATTTTTTTTTACCTACATAAGACAAGATCACCTGAACCATTAGCGACAGACAGTGGCATTTTGTTTTCTGTTCTGACAACAGGTGTTATGGTAACACCATTAAACTAAACAATATTTCACAAAGATCACCCACCGCTGCCCAAAAGCATTGTAACAGATATTTATTTACACGCTTACTTACAAGCTGTTGCATGATATCAATCAGTTATTTGTACGAGTCTATTTGTTCAGCTTTCTACCTTTTGGAAACAAAGAAAATACTGAACTGCTATGTAATATCAATCCTCGGATATGGATAATTTTCTCACAGATGAAGAGGAAACTTGAGGCAAAAGAGATGTGGTTCTGCAGAAGGATGATGAGAATACTATGAAATGAACATGTGAAGAACAAGGAAGTTTTAATTAATTCATTTTTAACAGTTTATCAACCCTCTGCAGAACCAAGCCAGAAAATATTTTTAGATTGTAAGAATTTTTTTTTAAAATAATGGTTTAGGGATAAACATTTTACTAATTAACCCATAGCCGGGAGGAGAAGAGGTGGATTCATACCTTTCTTTTTTGGCCATAGGTAAATATAATGAACCCAACAGGAATTGGATTTGGCTCACTGATTAACAATTTGACACATTATTGATTATACCAACACACATTTAAGCTTATAGCACCTGTTATTTCCAAACAGTCACCGATCTAGATACTGACCAGGTCTGATATTGTTTAACTTCAGTGTTTCAATGTAATGTGGCCATAAACCTAAAATTTAAAGTGCACCCTGAAGTAAAAAAAACAAAAAAAAACTGAGAAACAGTGCCCTACAGGGTAATTGCTGGATTTTTTTGTACATTTTTACGTTATAGGAATTCATCTTTGTCACAAAATTCCTTATTTTGTATTGGTAGCAAACTCCAGGTTTAGCTATAGAAGTGTGACAAGCACATGCCGATACAAACACAAAAAGGGGTCCTAAGTCATGTGCAGCTAGTCACACTGGGTTTTCTCCCTGTTAGCAGTAGAACAGCTTGGCATGTCCAGATATGAGGCTCTCTGCAACTTGTCCAGATCTGGGACTTTGTCAGCTATCTCGTGTCAATAAAAGCCAGCAAACCAACAGTTGACAGGATTCAGTGTCTTGTGAAGACATTCCCTTTGCACTTTTTTTTTTATGGCAGTTGCATGCCACCAGCCATGCCATGGTTTCTGAGAGAGTGGCCTCTCTAGTCATCACTCGGCTTTATTTGGTTTCCTCCCATCTCTTTCCCTTCTCTGCCACTTACCCTGTAATTCGTAAGTGAACAATCGGTCAACTGTTTCCCCACAACTTCAACACACTCTTGCCTTATTTTCTAAAAAATTCTCGTTAGAATCCCTTTTGCACATTTACAAATGTAACATTTATCTGTGCATTGAACACCACTGACATATCTGGTCTGGTGCTCCTACTATTTATTTCAAGGTTCTTGACAAAATCCAAAGGATCTGCAATGCAATTGATCCTGACCTGGCATCTCAACTTCAGCCACTTTCTCACCAATGTGGCATGGCTTGCCTCTGTCTTTGCTACAAATATTTTCATTATATGTCTATATTTCTGAGATGATGTATTATGTACACTATTTACATTATCTGGATTATTGTCCTCATCTTTGTCACCATATTTATTACAACGTTTCGGGCGTTGTATGCTCCTGCCTTCTTCAGGTGGTTGGAATGTCAGAACCGTCTACCCCAGTGAGCAAAATAAAGGGTTCACTTTGACATTCCAACCACCTGAAGAAGGCCGGAGCTTACAACGTCCAAAACGTAATAAATATGGCAACAAAGATAAGGACAATAGTCTGAATAATGTAAATTCGGTAAATCTTTTCATGGCAACCACTCTGACAAATTTTTTTCCCTACTGCCCCGACTACGTGAATTTAAATGTGCTACTAGATTGGTATCTAGGTCCCTCTCATTTACTATTGAAATGGGTAAATACAACTGCCTCTTCTACTCCAACAGTTTCTTATCTTGCTCTTCCTGCCTGTGGAACTCTTCTGTTTACTTGCTTCCCTGATAACTACAATCTTCAAAAATTTAAATGCAATGTCAATTGCCATCTTCTGTCTTCTTGAATCCCATTCATTGTTTATCATTTCCTCAATCCTCCCTATACTCAGTCTTCTTTTTCACTTTCCCTCCCTGTAAGCTTTTTCGTACTAGTGGCATTCCTGCCTTGCTTGGAGTGAAATGATAATATATATATATATATATATATATATATATATATATATATATGTGTGTGTGTGTGTTTGAATCCTTTCGGAGGACAAATATTTTCTGTGAAAATTTCTCAAACATTCAGGCTGGTAAATGTTTAATACTGTTTATTATAAACAGAGCATTTACTTAAATACTTGTATCTATAAAAAGAATGTTAAACATAAAAATGTCTTAAAATAATTGTCGGATTTTGTCCATTTTATAATGTGTGACATCATTTGTTTACATTTGATATGCCATGAGCAGATATGAATGTATGTGAGAGATTCATGGAAGATTAAAGTTTAAAGACAGTTAAATCGACTTTGCTAACCGAATGCTCCTCTGTGGCCAAATCGGTAAAGGCACGTCAAGCTAAATGACGGTTCCGTATAGGATACAGGTTCGAATCCTGTTGGAGGATGAATATTTTCTGTGAAAATTTCTCAGATATTCAGGCCAGTAAATATTGTTTAATACTGTTGATTATAAACAGAGCATTTACTTAAATATTTGTATCTATAAAAAGAATGTTAAACATAAAATGTCTTAAAAAAAAAAATATATATATATATATATATATATATATATATATATATATATATATATATATATATATATATATAATAAAAATAAAAAATATAAAAAAAAAACATAAAATATAAATGAAAAATAACAAAAAAAAACAAATGGTCTGGTGGATTCAAGCATTGGCTAAAGTAGATCTTGTGTCCTGGCAGTTGAGCATTCAATTTTAGTATTTGCTGATGGACAAGGTGTGTCAAAAAAAGAGATAAGACTGAAGTGACAAAAATTCTTCCCCTTTGAAATCCTCTCCCTCAAGTCTAACACAGTTTTCCTATACCTCCATGCATTCCTTCAAGGAATTCTCCTGGGATTCTTTACAGTTCCTTTGACACAACCCTCTTGATGGCTTCCATGTCTGGAAAACAAATCCCTTGATGAACTGGAGCAGCCTTCCTCCTCACCTGACAGTGCGTGATTTTTTTCCAATTCCCCAAGCTTATGAGAAAAGGGAGCTTAGAAAATCTTATACTCACAGGACATATTGAATGAACAACACTCTTTGGTTCTGCTAGGTCTAACCTTCATGGTTAGGACCTGCCATACCATTCACATTGTAGCAAACCAGCCACATTCCTTCTGTATTCCATTGATGGGAAAGAAGTTCCACTTAAATAGATTCTTCCTGCAAACTGCTGCTCTGTGGGACAGACTCCCAAGAGGTTTGGTTTGGTTTATGGCATATCAACCTCAATGGGTTATTTAATGCCAACAAATATTTTATTGCTGGTAATATTTTCTTTCAAAATAAACTATAGTTGGTAATATCTTTCTTTTTATAAAAATGTATTGCTTATAATTGTTTTTGTTTTTTACAAAAAATTTCTGGTATGTATTAAAACCTATTTTTACACTTTCATAGTGTTTTACTCCCAGTTTGAGTGTCAACTATTTGCCCATAGCTGGGACCCTAACAGGTGCTACCACCCCAGGTCAGGGTGGACCTGGGAACACCAGCAATTAAGAGGTGGTTCCACACTCCTCAAAACCTCATAATCAGAGGCCTTGATGTTGGATGTAGTTTATTGTTATACGCAGGACAGACTCCCAAGAGGATGTTTCCATGATCACTACAATCTTAACCTGTTCAAGTCTAGATTTAACCATTATCTTCATCTCCTATCCATATAAAACACCCCTTATAGTAACTCTACCTCTTGTAAAGGGTGAACCTTACTGAAAAAATAAATATGGGCAAGAAGGAGAGGAATGGAGTGCATAACCTACCTAATGCGTTTGTGTAAATGGTGGGTATGACGGGGATTAGGAGAGATAGCAAAAAACAAAAACATAGGTCAAAAAGTTGTGGAGAGCCATGATCGTCCATGTCCTGAAGGGACACTACATATTGTTGTGAAGTGTTTTCGCAGTGGAGGCTTGTATTTGTACTAAATCGGTCCTAAAATAGGTTTGACGTACAAAACGTTAGGAACTTGATATAATAGGTATAACGCAGAGTAATCTAGTTGTGGTCACTGATAGTTTAGTATTCAACTGTCATCTGACATCAACTGACTGACCCACAGACTGACTCCTCGTTACTCTTACTAATGCAGTTTAACATCATACCCAGGACAAAAACTTAGTTGGGCACAAGGCCACAATGAAGACAGAACTCACTATCCAGATGTGTTTATATCAGTGGAAAACTTTGTGCATACACATCAAAACGCGTGTGTAAATGACATAACATCTATGGATATGTATTATTTTTATTTCCTTTACTTGTCGACCAGGAAAATAAGATTATATCAAGTTGTCTGCATTTGCTTACAAGTAGGATTGGCATAGATAAGTTTACAAAAAGATAAGTAATCTATTGGATACAATGGGCTGCTTAGATGTTGATGTTCACTGTATATTTATATAAATGGTTTATAGAATATTATATTAATAATCCAGACTAATGTCCTCATCTTATGTTTTCTCATAACATTTCAGCCGATAAATTCTCTATCCGTCCTTGTGTTTATCCAAAGTATTGAGATGAAGCATAATCAGTATGTCACCAATGATGTGTACTAATATCCTCATCTTTGTTATTTTGTCCATTTTATTTTAGCTGGTGCCCCTGACAGTCATCCTACTGCCATAGTTTATTTAATGTCTTCATCTACGTTATTTTTATCCAAGCTGAAACATGGTGATCAGATTATGAAAGATAAGGATATTAGTTTAAATAGCAAATGGAATCAGATTAGGAAATAATTTCAGAAATTCAAACAACGATAGTGTTTATTTCCTTTGTATTCTGCATATAGAAAAAAAAAAATTCTATAGAACCAAAATCAGACTGAAACCACCAAATGCCCAAAAGGGAAATGTCCAATGGGTAAATTAAGTGAACTAAAAAGGTTTTCATTGAAGAGGAAATCCCAAAATTAAATTGTGGCCTGTTTAATGATTTTATATTTGCACAATTGATGGCTAGAGAGAGTCAGGTAGTAAAAATCTTACTCAAAAGGAGAAAGGAAGATACGACGATTAAAGGGAAGGAAGAAGAAAAGAAAGAGAGAAAAGGAAAAAGATAGGAAGCAAAAACGAAAGAAAAGAAGGAAAGGAAAATATTGGCAAGAAAAAAAGAAAGGAAGTAAAGAAAAACAAAGAAAAGAAGGAAAGAGAAATACTGAAGAAATGAAAAAGCAAAAAGAAAAAGAAAAATGAAACAAAGCAATCATTCTAATGGAAGATAAAAAGTCAGAATGAAAAGCATAAAATAGAGATAAAAACAAAAGTTGAAAAAAAAGGATGTGTAAAAGAAAAAGAGAGAGAGAGAGAGAGACGAAAGCGGAGAGAGAGAGACGAAAGCGGAGAGAGAGAGAGAGAGAGACGAAAGCGGAGAGAGAGAGAGAGAGAGACGAAAGCGGAGAGAGAGAGAGAGAGAGACGAAAGACAGAGAGAGAGAGAGAGAGAGACGAGAGAGAGAGAGAGAGAGAGAGAGAGAAAGAGAGAGAGAGAGAGAGAGAGACGAAAGAGGAGAGAGAGAGAGAAAGGAGAGAGAGAGACAGAGACGAAAGAGAGAGAGAGACAGAGACGAAAGAGAGAGAGAGAGAGACGAAAGAGAGAGAGAGAGAGACGAAAGAGAGAGAGACAGAGACGAAAGAGAGAGAGAGACGAAAGGAGAGAGAGAGAGAGAAAGACGAAAGAGCAGAGAGAGAGAGAGAGAGAGAGACGAAAGCGCAGAGAGAGAGAGACGAAAGGAGAAAGAGAGAGAGAGAGACGAAAGGAGAAAGAGAGACGAAAGGAGAAAGAGAGACGAAGGAGAAAGAGAGACGAAAGAGAAAGAGAGACGAAAGGAGAGAGAGAGAGACGAAAGCAGAGAGAGAGAGAGAGAGAGACGAAAGAGAGAGAGAGAGACAGAGAGAGAGAGAGAGAGAGAGAGATGAAAGGAGAGAGAGAGAGAGAGAAAGGAGAGGAGAGAGACAGAGACGAAGGAGAAAGAGAGAGAGAGACGAAAGGAGAAAAGAGAGAGAGAGAGACGAAAGGAGAAAGAGAGAGAGAGAGACGAAAGGAGAAAGAGAGAGAGAGAGACGAAAGGAGAAAGAGAGAGAGAGAGACGAAAGGAGAAAGAGAGAGAGAGAGAGACGAAAGGAGAAAGAGAGAGAGAGACGAAAGGAGAAAGAGAGAGAGAGAGAGACGAAGGAGAAAGAGAGAGAGAGAGAGAGAGAAAGAAGAAAGGAGAAAGAGAGAGAGAGAGACGAAAGGAGAGAGAGAGAGATGAAAGGAGAAAAGAGAGAGAGACGAAAGGAGAAAGAGAGAGAGACGAAAGGAGAAAGAGAGAGAGAGAAAAGGGAGAAAGAGAGAGAGAGAGAGACGAAAAGGAGAGAGAGAGAGAGAGAAAGGAGAAAGAGAGAGAGAGAGAGAAAAGGAGAAAGAGAGAGAGAAAGGAGAAAGAGAGAGAGAGAGACGAAAGGAGAAAAGGAGAAAGAGAGAGACGAAAGGAGAAAGAGAGAGACGAAAGGAGAAAGAGAGAGACGAAAGGAGAAAGAGAGAGACGAAAGGAGAAAGAGACGAAAGCAAAAAAAAAAAAAAAGAGATGGAAAATGAAAAGGTGAGAAAGAGAAAAAGAATGAAAAAAGAAACAAAGAAGTATGAAAAGCAAAAAAAAAAACAAATCTAAAGAAAGATTAAAAGGAAAATCAAACTTTAAAGAAAAAGTGAAGAAAGGCAGGAATAAAAGAAAAAGAAAACCAGAAAATATCACACCTTATATATCAAAAGTTAAGGATAAGGAATAAAGACGGTTAGTACAGCCAACAGCAAAATATTCACAAGCCCAAAGATCACTCTGACCTTTGACAGAATACAGAACTGAAGTTCACTGAAAAATCAATTCAATGTACAGTACACTCTACCATCTGATTGGATCCTTTCCGATATGCCCTGTTTGTTGTCCTAGTATTATAGATCTCTTTATCATATTACCCCAACAAAGTCAATGAAGCCACTAAAATACAAAGAGTCACTGAGAGTGAAAGAATCTGAGAAACATTATTAAGGAGAGAGAACAATAAAAGGATAGAAATTAAGAAGACAGAAGGTAACGATTGACATTGATCAAAGTTGACTGGAAAGCAAGAAGCCAGAAGAGAGTTTCACAAGTGAGAAGTGCAACAGAAGAACCTGTTAGCATAGAACTTATGGTTACATCCAGCCATTTCAACAATAAAATGGTGAGACCTATCTGCCAATTTAGTACTGTACTTAAATTCGTAAAGTTGAGGTACTAAAGAGGAAAGCTCATTAGCACAATTAGCATGAAAATATTTATAGAAAAGGTATAGGAAAGGTACGTAGCAGTGGTGGGAAAGTGACTGAAGCTGAGATGTCAGCACCAATAACATTGAAGATTCTACTTTGGATTTTGTTATTATATGCATGAAAAACTGTATCTATGTTGACATATCAATAAATTTATAGCCTGAAGAAAAAAGTATTTAGGCAACAAGTATTCATTTGTCAATATCAGAACGTGCTTTATCAAGGTAGAAAACCTAACACATTTCTTCATTAATTATATTGGACTATATATATCATACAATCGGTGTTAAGATACCATTATGTAAATGATCATTTTCACCTTGTAAAATTAAATTTACAGCATTTTTCAAACTGTCAATGGATGATAAATTTTTTGAAAAAAAAAAAAAAACACACACAGACAAAAGGGAGGAAAGAAAGGAAGAAAAACGGGGGAGAAGATGAAGAACAGAAAGGAAGGAAAGGTGGAAAGAAAAAAAAAAGTGGTGTAAATCTCTGATATGAGTGGTAGTCAGAGGGGAAAGGAAGATAGAAAGAGAAGGAAAGGAGAGAAAGAGATGAACTATTTAATATACCCAGTAGAAACCTGAGAGTATACAGACCAAAAAGAACCTTCAGAAATTAATGAAAAAAAAAAAACCCCCCAAAAAAAAAAAAAAAAAAACAAAAAAAAAAAAAAAAAAAATAAAACCTAAAAATATGAACAGAATCCAGAATTAAAAGTATGAAATCAACATATAAAAAAAGAATATTAAGGAAGATATAAAAATTTAAATAAATTTAATAAATATCATAGGATGAATACATTAAATTAACATATATCAAATTAAATTTATATTAATACCCATCTACAAGGAAAAATCTTATTTGAAATTTAATAATATAATAAAAAAAAACTTAAAATTTTAAAGGTTATTTATTATATATTTTCAAATAAAATTTTTTTATTATATAAGATATTAAATTTCAAATAAAAAAAAGATTCTTTGTCGATAGGTATTAATTAATATAAATTTAATATGTTAATTTAATGTATTCATCCTATGATATTTACTCCCCCCTCCCCATTTATATTAAATTTTTTTTATATTTTCCTTAATATTCTTTTCTGACATATATGTTGATTTCATATTCTTTAATTCTGATTCGTCTCTCGTTCATATTTTTGGTTTTATTTTATATAATATTTTTTTTTTCATTAATTTCTGAAGGTTCCTTTGATCTATATACTCTGGTTTCTATTGGGTATATTAAATAGGTCATCTTTTTCTCTCCTTTCCTTCTCTCTTCCTTTCCCCTTCGACTACCCCTCATATCAAAAACTTACACCACTTCCTGTTTCCTTCTTTTTTTTTCCCCACCTCACCTTCCTTTCTATACTTCATCTTCCCCCACCTCCATGTTTTTCTTCCTTTCTTTCCTCCACCTTGTCTGTTTTTTGTGTTTCTTTTTTATTTAAAAAATTTAACATCCATTGACAGTTTAAAAAATCCTGTAAATTTATTTTTACAAGGTGAAAATGATCATTTACATAATGGTATCTTAATTCCGATTGTATGAAATTTATATATATATATATATATATATATATATATATATATATATATATATATATATATATATATATTGCATACATACACACACGAAGAAATATAGTTTCAAGGTATGCTATATTTATGGAAGAAAGTGTTCAATATCAGATAAAGAGTATGTTAATATAAAAGTGAACATTGAAGTCAACACTCAGAGGCGACAAGCTGTTTCATGCTAGATGCAATCATCAGGCCTGACGATTGTGTCTAGCATGAAACAGCTTGTCACCTGAGTGTTGGCTCAAATGTTCACTATATATATATATATATATATATATATATATATATATTTTCAAAAATTATAACATAGAGAAAAAGATCACTACAAAAAAGTTATTTTTGTTTCAACACTTCTGGTGTTTTGTCAAGTGATAGTGACACGACACAAGAAGTGTTGAAACAAAATGGCTTTTTGTAGTGATGTTATAACTTTTATTAGGCCTGACAATATTTAGTCGCACACTTCAGAGGATCACACTGTACACTAGTATGCTGTGGTACAGAAGTGTAGAATCACTGGTTTAAGTGGACCGTCTTAACTGCAGTGACAAGGAAAGAGATTATATTGAAAAATAAATATTTGATATCTTAAATACTTTTTATCACTGAGCTATGAATCAAGATTAATATCAGATGAAGGCAAATCTTTTTAGTGTTTTTTTTTTCTTTTTAAGAAAAATCATTTTCAGTTATTCTCAAATTCAAAAAAGAATACACTTAAATTTTTTCAGCAGAGGTAGATATGCAGATGGTGTAATGGAGAATAAGAAAGCAGAGAGTAAGAAAAAAAAAAAAAAAAAAAAAAGAATTATTCTTACAATCCCAAGGGTTGATAAACGATAAAAATATATCACTCAGCCAACCACATAGATAAGGACACACATGACTCTCTAGAGTATATGATATTACAAGATAAGTTCTACACACAAATGAGTGTTCGTTTTATATATACACACACACGGTTGGTATATCTGGAATAAAATTCTGATAACCAAAAACAATGTTCTTAAAACAGTGCTCAATACAGAGCCAAATGAGTAACATTTATTCAAAAATTTTAACATATGTATGTTACAACATTACAAAAAGCCATTTTGTTTCAACACTTCTTGTGTCTTGTCACTATCATTTGACAAAACACCAGAAGTGTTGAAACAAAATGGCTTTTTATAGTGATATAACATACTTATAATTTTTAATATATATATATATATATATATATATATATATATTTTGAATATTGGAGTCAACACTCAGAGGCGACAAGCTGTTTCATGCTAGATGCAATCGTCAGGCTTGATGATTGTGTCTAGCATGAAACAGCCTGTCACTTCTAAGTGTTGACTTCAATGTTCACTTTTATTTTTATATTTACATATGCACTATTTCTGATATTGAGCACTTTATCCCATAAATATAGCACCCTTTAAAACTATATATATATATATTTGCATTCCCATTCCTTTCTTTTTTTTCTTCTTCTTCATACCCACCTTCCTTTCTATTACACTCAATGTCATGTTTTTCGATAGTCATGCACCTGTTAACTTGTTTCTGAAAAATAATTATGTAATATCCTTTGTGTGTTTTTTTTTTAAATAAAGTGTTAAGGTGGACACTTTTAAAAAATATCACCTGAAGAGACCATCAGGTCAAAATCAAGGTCGCGTATTTTAATTGACTTCTTGTTTTTAAAGTTAAAAGCTCTACAAGTTATTTTTACTTAAATTCATATTTTTTTTTCACATGTCTATTGAGCACATTTTAATACTACTATTTCCTGGTCTGATTCAACTCTGACCATTAATCTTAATATATATATATATATATATATATATATATATATATGTGTGTGTGTGTGTAACTAGTAATGGTACAGCATTAGTATTTGAATAAATGAATAAGTATTCAACTTCTTTTCAATTATGTTATTTTAAATACTTTGTTTTAATATTCATTTTTTAAAGAGTTTTTTTTTTTTTTTTTAATTTAACTTTTTAAAATTTTACTTGAATAAATGGATATTAACCTTTTTTCATATAATTGTATTCAACATTCTTTGTTTAATTCAAAATTTTTACAAAGTTATATTGAATTATGAATTAATATTGTTGAAGTTTCCGATATGCAGCATTGAGCATTTGATTTAATAATTTCCCAATATTTTCAAAGTATATTACTCTGAAATTTGTATAAAATGAATATGACATTAATTGTACTGAAATTGCTGTTATTTTTTTTCATAGTAATAACTTTTGCACGCCAATAATTTGAAATGGAGTGCAGATAAGTTCAAGAGAGGACAATCAACAAATTGTTTATATAAAATGAATTTGTACATTTTTTTGGGGGGGGGACACCCTTAGTTAACTGCAATAAAAAATAAAAATTTTGCTAAGTGCACGGTGATATTTTTATTTGCTCCATTGCTTAAAAAGGTTGAGAAACACTGACTGAACCAAATGTGAAAATTTTAGATAAAATTTCAGTTAATAACGACATCAGGTTACAGATTAATCTCACTTATATACATATTCACATGGAGGGAAAGAGCGAGAGAGGTTAAAAAAAAAAAAAAAAAAAAAAAAAAAATCAATGACCTTTAATGGTTTGACTAAACAAAAGTTCCACTGAATGAAGCCAATTTATAATAATAAAAAAAAAAAAAAAAAAAAAAAAATCGACTTTGTAAATTAATTAAATAAATAATACAGAATAAACTGATTTGATAAAATTAACAAGAGATAACTGAACAATAATCTAGTAATTAATAAAATTGAAAATAAATCCAATGAGTGATTAAGGAAAAGTATTAAAAAAAAAAAAAATGGACTCAAACAAAAAGTTAAATTCTAAAGCTGATTAGAATTTAAAAAAGATTAAATTAAAAATAAACTTAGAATGAAAAACTAAAAACAAACAAAAAAAAAATTAACATTCAATTGAAAACCGACTTTGGTCAATGGGGAAGAAAGACGCAAATAAAGCCAATAAGTTTAACAAAC